TCCGCTGGCGTCAGGCAGAGACTCGCTCGCTAGGTGTGGGCTTGAACAAGAGGCTCCCAGATGCAAACTCTGACTCAGGGGCCCTGGGGCTGGGTCCCTTCTGTGTTTTCACGGGCCCCAAGGTGACTTGGATGCAGGCTGACATTTGAGAAGAAATCAGAGCCCACCCCGGGCGCAAACCCAGGGGCAGAAGGACAGGCAGGGCAGGGCTGCCGGCCCCCCGGCTGGTCAGGGGTGATCATGGTGGAGGAAGGGGACTGTCTCCTGAGCAGCAGGGACAACGGGTGCCCTGACACCTCCCCACCTGACAGCTCGGGGCTGAGCTGCCCGGCCCCCCCCTGCCTCCCTGTCGCCTCAAACCACATGGGGGGGGTGCATCTGGGTTTCTCCCCCGTGGGCGCGGAGGGTCCCGGCCTCCCCCCGGCTTTGAGCCATGGTGGCCCCAGACTGTCCCTTCAGGGGCTTTGGTCCACACTCTGATGTGTCTTTGGTTTTTTACCTGCTTTATTGAGACATACTCGCCAGACAGCGAGCCTCTCCGGCGGCAGGCGGTGGTCTCACCGCTCGCAGCCCGGCCGCTCCGAATCCACTCGGTCCCCGCACACCTCCCCGTTCTGCACGTTTCACAGGCGTGGAAGGCTACCCCGCGTGGCCTGGTGTCGGCTTCCGGCCTCTGCTGCCCTTGAGGCCCCTCCGCGGTGGTGCGGGGAGTCGGGGCTTCTCTCCCAGGCTCAGCGCGTCCCCCCCACGGAGAGACCGCCTTTTGTTCGCCCGTTTCCACCACCGGCCGTTGCGCCGTGGACCTCCAGGAGAGCGTCTCTGTGCACGGTGCCGTCAGCCTGGGGGCACCCCGGGGTGGCTCCGCGCGGCACAGGGCGACTCCCGAGAGGCGGTTCCCGGGGCAGCCGCCCCCTGTGTTCCCGCCAGCAGTGCGCGAGGGCTGTGACCTCTGCGCGTCCGCACCCACTGTCCTCCCCGTCCGCCTCGGCGGTCCCGGGGGGCGGGGCGCACGGGGAGCGCGGGGCGGGGGCGGCGGTGCCTCTGAGGCGGGCTTCCCGGCCGAGTCCTGCCCTGCCGGCCGCCGCCCCCTCCCGGGTCCGCGAGCGCCCCGGCCCGGCCCCTGGCTTGCGGGCTGGCGGCAGTGTCGTCGATGCTGTGGCTGTCGCTTGTCACCGGGCTCAGGGCCACGGTCGCCTCCCTCCTCCTCAGCCCCAGCTCCGGGCCCGGCCCGCCCCGCCCCTTCCCCGGCCGCGGGGCTCCGCCCGCCGCGCCCTGCGCTCCTCCCTGAAAACCCGAGAGCGCGGCCAGCGGGGCGGGGCTGCCCCCTGGTGGCCGCACGCGGCACGTCCGGGGCCGCCGCGGGCTTGGCCGCCTCCGGGGAGCCCAGACCAGGGTCTAAGCCGCCGAGGGCACTCGCCGCGAGGCCAGCCCAAGCCCGGGACACGCACGGTCTCAGTGAACGTCGCCAGCAGCCCTGCGGGCGTTTCCACAAGCGCCGAAGACGCACCGCCCGCGGAGCCTGTGCACGGCCCTCCCGGGGGCAGGAGGCTTCCGCAGGGGGCGCGCCGCCCCTCCCGGGCCCGCCCAGGCTGTGCGCCTGTGGCCCTGGCTGCCCGGGCCGTGTGCTCGTCAGGGCGGCCGCGCGGCTCTGCGGCAGGGCCCCGGGTGGCCCCCAGCGGCACGGTGCTTCCCACACGCGTGGCCTTGCGGCCCCGTTGTCCCCTGAGGAGCGAGAAGGGGCGTTCTCAGGCCCAGGCCCAGGCCCGGAGCTGGGCAGGCAGCCGTGGGCAGACAGCAGGGTGGCCCGCACCCGGGGAGCCCCCCGCCCACCCCGTCTGGGGACACACTTGAGGAAAGAGCCCGGGAGAGAGGGTGGTGGGCTCCAGGCGGGGTGCCACCCTGCAGGGGTCTCAGGGCTCCTGCCTGGGGCGCTGGCCTCGGGGCTGCGAGGGTGGACCTCACCGCCAGCGTCCCTCCTGCCTCCAGCGCCCAAGGGAGCGTTTTGTGGAGGGGAGAGCAGGACCTAGAGGAATGAGTGAGGCAGTGCGGAGGGAGGGAGCGTGGGAGGGGGAGTGGGGGGAACGGGTGGGGGGAGTGGGGCGTGAGTGAAGGCCTCATGTTCAGATATCTGGTCTGCTCACCAGCACGACCCCACTGCTCACCAGAGAAGTTTCTGGAAGCAGCACATCAGATGCAAACACGAAGGTCTGTGACCAGTTTGTGAGGACAGCACTGTCACCAACCGTTAGGGAGGGGGCGCAGCCAGGCGGACGGGGCGGACACGGGCTAGGCCTTGGGTCAGCTGGGTCCCTGGTGCCCAGGCCAGCCAGTGCCCTCCCTCCCCCCGCCTCCCCCCTCCCTTGCTTCCCCCTAAACCCTGCCTTCTCTCCCCACCGTCTCTCCCTGCCTCCCCCCTCCCCCGCCTCTCCCTCTCCCTCCGCCATCCCCTCCCTCCCCCCATCTCCCCTGCCTCCCCCCCTCCCCCTGCCTCCCCGGCCGCCCTGTCCAGCCGGATTCAAGCCCGGTGACCTCTGCCTCTTGCCCCCCAGAGTCTCGGACTCAAGGGCAGTGCCGGACTTGTCCCCGGGGTGCCCCTGCGTCCCCACCGGGGCTGGCATGTGGCCGGAGCGCAGCCGTCAGCATGGAGCTTCTCCTTGTCCCCAGCGGTCACCGACTCTCCCCATGTGCATTTTCTAATTTCATGGGTCCCCATGCTGTCACGGCAGACACCCTCTGACACCCCCAGGGAAGGACATCCTCCAGGTCACCCCTCCCGGCCCTAGGCCCCGGCTCACCCCGGCTCCAGTCTCTACCGCACCCACGCCGGCCCCGCCCACCAGGCCTCAGCCCCCCCTCAGCGACCGATGGCCAGAGGAGACCCCCACCGAGCCCCTAGCGCAGAGCTCGGGCCCCTGTTGCCGCTCTCCTGCCCGAAAGCGCCGCTCCCCGGGCAGCACGGAGGCAGCCGGACGGGGCACAGCTCCGTCTCTCACGCTGAGGCATGGGAAGACACCGGCCGGGGGCCCTGGGGCAGCCTGGTCACCCGGTGCCCAGCGGGAGGGGTGCTGGCTCCCAGCTCCCTGCCGGAGGAAAGGACGTGGCGTCCCCAGCAGAGCACGCTGGGCCGGGACAGCTGTGAACCCAGTGCACCTGCGCCGTGTCCCCGTGGCCACCGGAGCCCCGCGCGAGGCCCTGGAACAGGAAGGAGAGGGAGGCTCTCAGAGGAGAAAGGCACGCGGAGGCAGAGGCTGACGCGGGAGCCGGGCCGGGGATGGTGGGCACCGCAGCTGAGAGAAGAGCCTGGAGGAGATGCTCCCCCAGACCCCCAGAGGGAGCCCACCCTGCCGACACCTTGATCTTGGACCTCCAGCCCCAAGATGGCGACCGGAGAGAACAGATTTGGTTTTAAGCTGCCCAGTCTGAGCCAGGTGGTTACAGGAGCCCGAGCAAGGCAGCTCGTGGCTCAGCGTGGAAGCCCCAGGGCCCTTCGAGGGAGCCCAGCTCTGTCCCCAGCGCTGGGCGTTCAGACTGTGACGCGAAGCCTCGGCCCTCCCGTCACCTCCAGAACCTGAGCACACGCCCCTCCCACGGGCTTGGCCCTCCCCGATGGCCCTAGAGGAAAGCACGCACCTGACAAGGGAAATGGCATTATTTCGTTAGGAAGGCACGTGAGACTGGTGTGTATTTTTGCATTTTTATTTCGTCTTTTTTTTTTTTAATTTTTTTCTAACATCTTATTTATTTCTGAAAGAGAGAAAGGGTGAGCAGGGGAGGCACAGAGAGAGAGAGGGAGACACAGAATCCGAAGCAGCTCCAGGCTCTGAGCTGTCAGCACAGAGCCCGATGCAGGGCTCGGACCCACAAACTGTGAGATCATGACCTGAGCCGAAGTCGGCTGCCCAACCGACTGAGCCACCCAGGCGCCCCGCGTTTTTATTTCTAAACTTATTTCCAAATGTATCTTTCCAATGCATCTCACTATAAAGAACGACCATGGACAGTGGACAGCTGTCTTACAGAAATGGGAGCACAAGGTAACACGATGGCCCAGCACAGCTCAGGGGTACCTGGGGTGCCCGGCCCCCCTCGCTGGGCACACAGCCCACTGGGCTCCTGTTTGAGCATGAGCTACAGGTGTGTGTGAAGTGCCTGAAGCAGAGGTAGTGGGTCAGCATGAGGTAGGTGTCGTTGGCCCTGTTACAGATAGGGAAACTGAGGCAGCAGCGTGACCTGGCCGGGGCGAGGCTGGGAGGGGCAGTGCCAGGACGTGGCCTCATGGCAGACCTGGTTCCCTCCCCCCACATTCTATCTGCGCCTGGCGGAGGGGCTGGAGGCCTGTGGCTCCCACCTGCTCACTCTGGAGCCCCCTGCAAGCCCTTGGCGGCCTCTCCCCTGGCACCGAGGCCGGGAAGCCTTGACGTGAAGGAGCCCCCACCGTTCTCCGAGCCTCTGTCCCCCTTCCTGCATGGCCGCCTGCGCTCTCCCCCCAGGCACCTTCAGGAGGTCCATCGGCTGCTCTGAAGCAGCTGGCGCCCCAGCCCACAGCCACCTGGGGGGCTCCCGGCAGCCCGCAGCATCACACCTGCGTGGCACGGAGCCCGCCGAGCCGAGGGCCCTCAGGCCTGGGCTCCCGCCCCGTCGTCGGCCTCGGCTGTCCCCCGGCGAGCTGGCCCTGCGCCAAGGCCTCCTGAGACAGGGTGCCTGTCTCCTGCTGTACTCCCCAGTCACCCAAGCACCGCCCGCAGAGGAGCCCGGGGAATAAAGCGTGCACACTGCTGTGTGCACTGACCGGGCCCCCACCCCCGGCGCGACGTGTGCCCGCTGCCCGCAGCCCAGGCGGCACTCAGCTCGGCCCCCAGCCCCGCTGCTTGCTCCCGGCCCAGGGAGCTTCATCCCAAGGGCTGGGATGTGTGCGGAAGGAGCAGGCCTCCTGGGTGCCTGCAGCCTTATCCTGGAGGAGCCCCCGCCCTCGTGTGGGGCCCAGGGGGAGAGCCTGGGGGCCAGGACTCTGATGCTCAGAAGCTTGCGGAGGGCGTGGCTCCCGGAATGAGAGATTGGTGTCAGGTTTTCCAGAGGGGGCTTCCGGGCCAGCGCCGTGGACACTCGCTGGCCCGCTCAACGCACACTACTGGCTCCTGGGCCCCCACGCCAGCTCAACAGGACGCTTCGCCCAGCCTCTCCGAGGTGCGTGCTGAGCCCCACGTGCCCGCCTGCGACTCTGGCGGGCCAGCAGTCCAGGGGAGCACAGAGCCGTTCGTGAGTGTCATGGGCCGTGGCGCCTCCTCTGAGTTCTTGGAACACTCAAGCTTGACATTTGTCCTCGAGGAGCAGTTTTTCCATTCCTTGTGGACTCGGGACACGTTCTGCCACCCTTGGTCCATGGCCAGCACGTAGATGAGGGGGTCGGCCACGCTGTTCATCGTGGACAGGCACAGGAAGACCACAGAGAGCGTGTACAGCCTGGCTTCAAAGGCGCACATGGAGTTGGAGTCCTCCCCGTAGTAGGAGAAGGCGACGGCCTTGACCAGGAGCACCAGGTGGTAAGGTGCGAAGCAGACCAGGAAGATGGCCACCACGGCGACGGCCACATGCTTCACCTTGGCCTTCTGGGCGGCGCTCAGGCCCGTGCTCAGCCTGACGCTCCTGAAGACCCGCTGGTTGGTGAACGCAATGATGGCGAGGGGGACGGCGAAGCCCACGGCAAAGCGCAAGTAGCAGTAGGTGGCGATCTTGCTGTTGGCCGGCATCGTCTCAAAGCAGGTCCCCCCCTCTTCCATCTGAAACACTGGGTAGTGAACCAGGCCGACGACAAGGAAGGCGGCCACCGAGACGAGGACCGCGGTCCTCTGGTGGCGGCGGCCGCGGGTCTTCAGGGCGTACACCACCGCCACGAAGCGGTCGCAGGAGATGCAGCACAGGAGGAGGATGCTGATGTACAGGTTGCAGAAGAAGATGTAGCCGGTCACCTGGCACCCCCACAGGCCCAGAGTCCAGTGGTGCTTGTTCTGGATGTAGACGATCCACAGGGGCAGGGTGCTGATGTAGAGCAGCTCGCAGAGCGCCAGGCAGAACAGGTAGACGGCCAGCACGTTGCCCTGCCGCGCCCGGAGCAGCGTCAGCCACGCCGTCAGGCAGTTGGCCGGGAGCCCCAGCACGCACACCAAGCTGTACGCCGCCACCAGGAACACTCTGCTGTCCTCGAAGGACACGTTACAGGGACTGTGAGCAGAAACCAGGCTCGTTGACACAGGGCTGGTCACCAGGGTGTCGTTTCCTGCGGACACAGACAAGCGTGAAGACGGGGATCCCTGGGAACCAAGAGAACATAAGACTCATGCTCACTTCAGATGAGAAGCACCAGGCGTTTACGGTTTTTTTTAAGACGACTGTCAGATCTTTGGTCTCCAACCTGATGACGTCACAGTCAATGGGCTGTGCAACCAAGTCTTCGCAGCTCACAGAGGTCATTTCTCAAAGGGGTGCTTGTGTGCTTGAAAACAGAGGGTATTCTTTTTTTAAAATTTTTTTAGTGTTTACTTGTTTTTGAGACAGAGGGATACAGAGCACAAGTGGGGGAGGGGCAGAGAGAGGGAGACACAGAATTGGAAACAGGCTCTAGGCTCTAAGCTGTCAGCACAGCACCTGACGTGGGGCTCGAACCCCTGAACCTTGAGATCATGACCCGAGCAAAGTTGGACTGGGCCACCCAGGCGCCCCCAGAGTATATTCTTTAACTGCTGAGTGTTCTTCTGTGTACATTTTCAACAGAGTCTAGGTGCCCCCCCCATGCCCTTCTCTAGAAGCTTTCATGCTTTGACCCCCACCCCTGCCCCCCGCTTGGGCACAACACTATCTTGCCTGCTTCAACCATCAGTTATGGAGAAAAATGATTAACCACCCCTGTTGTGGGGGATTTCTGTACTTCACTTTGTAGTTCTCTCAAGGTTTGCTTTATATGTTTTAGGCTGTTGTTAATTGGGGCATGTGAGTTAAAAGTAGTTCTGATTTCCTGATGAATCGACCCCTGTATCATTTTGTCATCATGCTCTTTATCTCTGTGGTAGGCACAATAACGCGCCCCCCACCCCAAAACGTGCACATCCTGATCCCAGAACCTGTGAATATAACAGCTTGATTGGCTGTGCAACTCTGGTTCTGTGGCAGAAGGGAATGAAGGTTGCACGTGGAACTGAGTTTATGAATTGGCTGACAGTAGGAGAGGGAGACTGCGGTAGATTATTGGGGCGGGCTCGATGCAATCACAGGATCCTGGAATGCAGAAGAAGAGAAAGACAGGGCATGTGAATGGCCACTGGCCGTTCTGGAGAGGGAGGGAAGGGCTGCCAGCGCAGGGATGCAGACGGCTAACGGGAGCCGGGAGCGTAAGGAAACAGCTTCTCTCCAAGAGTCTCCAAAAGGAGCACAGCCTGTGATGCCCTGGTTTTAGCCCATTTCTCACTTTTCATCCCCAGAACAATGAAGACAATTAATTGGCATTTTTAAGCCTCTGTGTTTGTAGTAATTTGTAGCAGCAACAATAGGCAGGTAGCATAATTTCCAGTAATGCTTTTAATACAAAGTCTTTCATTTAGTACTTACTGTAAAAATACCAGCTCTCCTCCGATCACCATCCATTTGGGATTTTTTTTTTCCAACCTTCTACTTCCAAACTGTCTGCATCCTTATGACTTGGATGTGAGGCTTGCGCTGGATTTAGAAATCTGACACGCGTTACCTGTCAGTTACTGAATGCAATCCATTTACGCTCGTCACATCATTGATACGGTTTTGTTTTCTCCACCTTATTTTGTGCTCTTTTGTCTGCTTTTTCTGTTTGCTTTCATTACCCTTTTGTCTTTTGTTTCGGGTTGAACTGTGTCCCCCCCAAAAAAAGACATGGGGAGCCCTGGCCCCCAGCACCTTAGAACATGACTGTGTTTGGAGCCAGTCTTTGGGGAAGTGGCCGGGACAAGGTGAGGCCATCTGGGTGGCCCTAATCGCAGGGACTTTGGCACACAGGGACACAGGCAGGGAAGACAGTGTGGGGACACTGGGCGACGGCCGTCTACAAGCCAGGGAGAGTGGCTGGGACAGACCCTCCCTTCCCGCCAAGCAAGCAAACACATCTTCTGGATTTGTTTGGTTCTTAAACTCTGCTCCCCACCTCTACTCATTTGGAAGTTATTATCAAATCTAGTTTTAGTCTTTCAAAACCACCCTGGAAATTTAATGTGCGCCTCTGTAGTGTCTGGGGCTCGTCAGAGTCTGCGCCCTCCCGGGCGTGCGGGCGGGGCGGGAGCCGCGGACTTGCCACTCCCGCCGGGGTCCCGTCGGGTGGGGGGCTCGTGTTTCTAGCCTTGAACGTCAGCTTGTCATCCGCCCTGTTTGACGAGGCTGTGGCGGCTCCTGGCGGCTCCCCGGGCTCCTCCGGGCCGCGCTCCCGGCCCCCCTCCTGTCCCAGAACGTCCTCTGTCGGAGCCGGAGCCGGAGCCGGAGCCGAGGACAGGGGCCTGCTGGCAGGAGCCCCCGCGGGTCCGCCCAAAATGCCCTCTTCACCCAGGGGTCCGCTGTGGCTTCGGCACGGGGACGCCCTGTCCTCCGTCCTCTGGCCTCCAGAGCTGGGGCCCGGGAACGCGTGGATCCCAGCGCTGTGCACGGGCCCTCGGGGCTCTGCTCGGCCGTGTCAGCCGCGCAGGCTGCTCGCCCCGCGGCGGGGCCTCCTGTGCCGGCCGGCCGGGGGGCCTGCTGGTGTCCGTGTCTCGCTCGTCCAAGGGGTACAGCTTTCATTTCTGGAAACTCCATCTGGCTCCTTTCCAAGTCTGTCCAGGTGGCCTCTGGTTCAGTCCGTGCCCTGCCTGCCCCCAGCATGCCCCTGTCGCGCCCGCGAGGCGGTCCCAGCAGCTGGCACCAAGGACCCAGGGCTCCAACCCCGAGGCACCAGCCCTCTGCCCCCCCCTACCATGCGCCACAACCCGGCCCCCTCGAAGGCGGGTGGCGGTTCTGAGCCCACGTTTGGTGGGCGTTACCTGAGTGGAAGAGGGGCCCTCAGAGAGGGCGTGGACTTGCTGCCAGCAGTCACCTGGGGCCCCCGCCCGAGCTCTGGTGGCCAGCGGGCAAGGGTCCTTGGATTCGCTCCAGCCCTCGGGCCAGGCTGTCCTTTGGGGTCCCGTATGCAGGTGACCCCTTTCAAGCCCCACGCCCACTCCCACACCAGAGCCACGGGTCCCCTGTGGTCCCTGCCAGTGAGGAAACAAACAGCAGTGAATCAGGGCATAAACGTAAAGTGACAGCTGTGCCTCAGGTCTGTGAACATCCTGTGCTGATTCTCGCTGAGACTCAGTAACAGGGGACAGTCACCACTGTATGGAGTCACACGAAGTCCAAGGTCCAGAGACGCTCAGATGTCCCGATGCCCCGAGACAGAAGGGACCGCATCGGTGCACAACCTGGACACCCACCCGGCCCAGTGCCGTTCACCACCTTCCCTCACCCCTGCTCAGGATTTTCCTTCCCCTCGAGAGTGGAGACAAGCTTTCACGGGGCTCGGCCGGTGTGCGACGCAGGCTTCGAGGTGCCTCGTAGCGGGGGCTTGTTGCAGGCCGATGGGCCACCGCGTGGGAAGTGGGGGCCCCAGGGGAGCGCTCCCTGGTGTCCCTTCACATGCGGCTGGGAAGCCGCCGGCCACAGGGGCTCCTGAAGCACCGCCCGTGCTGGAGGGCCCTGGAGGAGGGGGTGGCCCGACGCCGCCTTCATCCCGTCCAGCAGCAAGAGCCCAGCAAGGAGAACAGCCCTGACCCGGGGCTCAGGCTGCAGAGCCCAAGGTGTGCCTCGCCCTCCCTCACCGGCCCTCCCCTGCCCCCCCCCCCCCACTGGCGCTCCGAGGGGCAGGCGGTCACAAGGACGAAGTGTGCTGTAAGGGGTGAGCCCCCAGCTCTACGAGGCAGGGACACTGCATGACGCGCGCACTCTCTGGGGACGTGCCGTGGGGAAGGGAGCTATGGCGTCCGGGCCACCTCTCTCTCCTGCCCAGCCTGGGCCCCTCCGACATCCTGACCTGCACCCAGAGCCGCGGGGGGCCCTGGCTCCGTCCCGGCCTCCTCTGCCCTGTCAGGGAAATGAACCTTCCTGGTGACACACACTTGCCGGAGCCCTTGCCCCTGGCCTCTGCCTTTCAGTTCCTCAGGGGATGCCAGGGACGCTTGCAAAACTGACACACTGTCCCCGTTAAACCGGAAGTCCCCTCGGCTCCCGCAGCGCCCGCACCCCGCGCTGCTCAGTCCCCGGAGCCGCCGCCCCCGGGGCCCCCAGGAGTGGGGCCACACGCCTGGCTTCACTCGCTCGGCCCCAGGCCCTCGGGGTCTGTCCCTGCTGCGGCCACAGCCCCAGCGCCCTTCCCTCCCTGCGAGGCCAGGCTGCGTCCACCTCCTGCCCCCGGGCCCGTGCTGCCGAGGACTTGGGCGTGCAAATGTCACTCGGCGCCAGACTTTCACTTCTTTCGGGTTAGTACCCGTGGCGGGCTTGCTCAGCGCCCCGCGGTTCTGCTTTCGACTTTCTGAGGAACCGCCAGCGGTCCCCACGCGGTGCTCAGGGACCCGCCTCTCCGCGTCCTCGCCAGCGCTTGGTATTTTGTTTCCTGAGAGTCGCCATCCCAGGGCCGCACGGCCCCTCCCCACCTTCCCCAGGCGCGGGGACAGGCGTGGCCGCCCCCCCCCAACCCCGCTCGCGGACGAGGGCCTGAGGTGCAGGGGCTGAGCGCTGTCGGCCCAGCTGTGCGCCCTCCCGCCGCAGGCACACGCAAGGGCCCCCTGACCTCCTGGGACAAGGGCAGGAGGCAGGTGACAGGCGACGGGCTCTCATGAGGCGTCTGTGGCGGCTCCAGGGCGCTGCGCATGGCCAGAGACGGGCAGGACAGCGACCCCGACCCCCGCAGCCCTGTTCCTGGTTCTTCCTGGCCCTTCGGGAGTCACGAAACAGATGCATCACGTGTCATGATGGAGGCCCTTCACCTTCGTTGTTACTGGGGCAGTTTTTGTTTCCATAAGTTTGCTTCTGCTCACTCAGTGTTGAAGGAATCATACCCGTTTTGAGGTGAGGTGCATTATAGAAAAATTCTTACAGGCTCCCTCCTAAATGTTTAAAGCCGGAGACATGAGTGGGGGCTCTCACCTGGCATACTTGAGAGTCCCGATCTCAGGGAGGCTGCAACATGTACGCTGAGGTCTAGCACATGCCCTGCGTCTTGTCGACCCTACTGAGAAGTTTGCTCCAAGAGTTTAAAATGACCTGGACAAAGAGAAGAATGAAATGGCTTTAGGGAAATCAGGTTAGATCACCAATTAAGCCATTCAACAGATAACTAAATGCTTAGTGAGCATTTATTATGTGCCAAGTCTTGTATTTATTCTATGGGATACAACAGCAGATCCTCAATATATAAAGAACATCTACAGATCAATAAATATAGGAAGTTTCAGAGCCAATATGTAGATAATTTAGAAACGACATAATAAACAGCTCCTAAAAATCCAAAAAGTGCTCAACTATACTTGTAATCAAAGAAATGTTTCTGTGAACATAAATATCAAAATGATACTCCTTTTTTTTGCCTATCAGGTTGGCAAAAATAAAGAACTTTAATTCTTAGTGTTGGCAAAAGTGTGAGGACGCGGGTATCTTCACTACCTTGATGGCAGCATAAACTGGCATAAATGTTTCTGAGCACAATTTTGCAACACGCTTTCAGAAGTCTTCGATGCACTTAGCTTTGGATCACATAAAATCCTTTCTAGGAATGTCCCTGGTGAAAGAATCACCCAAAATGTGAAGGCCATGTGACTTGGAAGCATGTCTGGAAAGGACCAGGATGCCCAGGAGAGTGCCCGCGAAGCCTGCAGGGCAGAGTGTGGGCGGGTCTGGGGCGGCAGCAGGCCGGGGCAGGGCAGCGTCCACGTCCACACACCGGGGAGGGTCTGGGAGAAGGCAAGCGCTCGAAGCCCGTGCCCCCGCGGTGTGCAGGGTGCGCCCAGAGCACCCCGCTGCGTGAGGCGGCCCAGAGGCGGGGATGCACTGGCGCCAGTCCCACCTGAAGCTGCTGGGCCGGGAGGTGCCCGTGGGGAGCCGGTGGCTGCACCCTAAGCACGCGCCTGCCCGGCCCGCCTTGCCAGAGTGTTGCCAGCACATGGAGGCCACAGGAAGCCAGGGCGTCTGCCCGAAGCTGCAGAGAGTGGGACCTGCAAGTCAACAAAGACGAGTCCGGAAAGTTGTTTCCAGAGTGATGTCAACCTTCTGAGGCCAGCGTTCACGCTGGCAGATGCGGCGGGAGGGTCCCCAGGCCTGGCCACCCCCTGCGGGTCTCAGGTCAGCCCCCTGCACGGGCCGCGGGCCGCCCCTGGGGGTTCTCTGTCAGGTCTGTGACTTGTTCTAGAAGGCCTTGCCCTCGAAGGAGATGGTCCGAGGTGCTTCCGGCTGCGACCCAGCAGAGCCTGCGTGGTGCACACCCCCAGACCGGAGACGAAGCCGGGGGTGAGGGGGTAAGGGGGACCGGGTAAGGGGGACCCCAGAGGAGGAGCTGCAGAACGCTCCTGCACCCCAGAGGCGCCCCCAGCAGCCCCCCCCTCCCCCCGCCTGCAGCAGGGGCTCTGGGCTCTACTACCTTCGCGCTAACTCTCGGGTATTCTGGACTAGAAGCCGTGAGGGTGAGCCCTCTTCCCGGGCGGCACTGCCAGCCTCCCCTGATGCGCACAGGAGCTGGGAGGGGTGGTGTCTCTCACAGCTGCCTCTGCAAGTGCCGGAGGAAGTGGTGGCCCAACCGAAAGTGTGCGCGCTCCTCTGAAGGGGGCCCCGCAGGCGCTGCGCTCTGAGAGCACAGTGCGGGGTGAGCGGGGGTCCTGGGGCAGCGTGCCCACGTGGCCCGTGGGTGCCCGGTGCTCATGTCCAGGCCTGGAGCCACATCCGACTGTCAGGCCCTGACAGTGCAGCCCATCCCGGCCAGCGCCCCAGCGGCCCACCGTGGCCGTCCTGGCCCCACACCATGGCCACAGGGTCCAGATCTCAGCCCATGGGTGTCCCGGGTCGTCCTCGACCTGGTGTGGGCCCGTTTTCTGTCGTCCCCTGCTCGCCACCCCCACTGCCACTACTTTCTACGGCTTTTCCGTGTCCCCTCCCCCACCCCCCCATCCCTAGAGGTGAGCAAGCCCCAGGGCCCACCAACACCCCACCCCTGCCCAACCTTGGTGGGTCCCTGCATCATCCTGGTGGCCGGGACACGGGGCAGCCCCGGCCTGGCAGGGGGAGTGGGGCTGGGGGCTCTGGCCCAGGCCCCGGGGGAGGTGGGGGCGCTGGGCTCAGCACCCAGCACAGTCAGGGTGGCAGTGGGCTGTCACCTTGGCGTCCCCACAGGGCTCACCCCAGAGCACCCTGGGTCTTCCCCGGGCCCGGCTCTCCCGCACGGCTGGATGTTTAGTGGGGGGTGTCCCTCCACGCAGCAGGTCACGCAGGCCTTCCCGGCCACACACGGTGGCAGCTCTTTCCTAGAGTCACCACATGTGTGGGCGGCTGTGAGGACCCAGAGGTGGCTGTTAGCTGTGGGGCAGGGGGAGGGACAGACCCCATGGGATGGCCCGTGCAGATGTCAGGCCAGACTCAGCAGCTGGCTGCCCCCAGCTCAGGGACACAGGGAAGGGACAAGCCCGCCATGCCTGGAATGCCGCGGGGGCCTGGTGGCCTTCGGGGGGCCTGTGGCCTTGGTCTGTTCTCTCCGGGAGCTGTGACAGCCACGTGGCCGTGGGGCGGGTGGGCCCAGGTCAGCCCGAAGCCTCTTCTACCTGCCCCCAGGCCCCCGCCTATCCTGCGCCTCCACATCCCCAGGGGCCCCCGAGCCCCACCCCTCCCCCCAGCCTGGGGCTCCCCACCGGCTGCTGCCTGTCCCCTCGCGGCTCCTCTGGTCTCCCGGCTGCGTGGAGCGAGCGCCTGCACCGGCTGCTATTTTGCCATTTGCTTGCAACACAATCTTGCCAAACGAGCCATTTCCCACACAAGGGGCACCGCGTGCTGAGTCTGCAGTGCGTCCGCCGGCCTCTCAAAATATATTCTTCAGCTCTGGCGACGTGACTTTCAAACAGATGGAAAAGCACAGCCACGGGACGTGCACCGTTTCCGCCGTGCCCTGACCCTCACCCTGCCCCCAACGCACTGCCGAAACCCTCCGGCCGGCCGCAGTCTCTGGCGCCGTTTCGCTGCCGCTGGGCATCTGGGCTTAATCCAAGCTGCCCACGTGCTCACGCCCAGCCCTTGACTCCACCTCTGTGCCCGTGGTGGGAATTTCTGGGCACTGGCCACACGCGCTTCCCATGCAGGGGCCAAGCCGCTATTCTTCCCATTTTGATAGATTCTTTTTGAGTAGGCTCTGTGGGGCTCGAACTCATGACCCTGAGATCAAGAGTCCCCTGCTCCGCCCACAGAGCCGACCGGGCAACCCCTCCCCGCATAGATGCTAAATGCGCAGCTTAAAATTCATTTCCAAGGGCACCCAGTGAGCCCAGTCCATAGAGCACCGGACTCTTGATCTCAGGATTGTGAGTTTCCTTAAAAATCATTTTTTAACTTCATTTTGTGTCTTTGGTAACAAGCTTGATGCCCCCCCAGCCCATCCATCTCGATTGTCGTGTCCCCCTCTGCCCCAGGTGACTTTGCCTGCCCCCTCCATCTGGCGGGTCCCCCAAGGCCATCCTGTCACCTCCCCGAGAACACTGCAGTCTCACTCCCTGCCTGGTGTCCCATGGGCCACCCCACCGGCCCACGCCCGGCACGGACAGCACCCTAAGAAGCCCCAGGACGGCCCGCGGCCAGCAGCCCGTCAACCCAACAGACACCCCGCCTGTCGCTCCTCATGCCCATGTGGCCCGGGAGTCAGGTGCTTGTATATCACCCAGAAAACACCCTGAGAATCAGCCGGAGTCCCGCAGCACCCAGGAAGTGCCTCTCCCCACCCAGGGGTGACCCTGCACCCGAGCTCCGGCCACCACCGCGAGCACGTGGAAGAGGCGAAGTGAAGGACCCGGGTCAAGACCCGTGACCAAGCCCCCACCTTCACACCAGCAAACCTCGTCAGCACCCCCACGCCGTGACTGCTCCTCAGCACGGGGAGCCCAAGTGGGGAGCCCGAGTGACTTACTTCGGGAGTAGGACCTCGCGCTCAGCTGCCCGCTTTCAGGAAGTAGGGTCCCAGCGCTCTCTCTCAAGCTCCCCTAACCGCGAACGGGCGAGTCCAGGATGGCCGCGGGGCCCAGGGCGGCATCTGCCTGGCTCCCTGAGCTCTTCCGGAGGCAGATGCGGGGAAGCAGCCGGGACCCACTTCTCCTCGTGGCTCGTGGCTGTGACAACATCCGGGGACACGCTCTGCGTTTGCTCGGGACCTTCCCACGCGGGAGCCGCTGTGCGTGGCCGCCCGACAGCAGCTCCTGCTCTATCTGGCGCCTGGGCGTCCCCCGGGGCCGTGTTTCACAAGGCGGCCTTCCTCCTCACTTCCCGTGCTGGGGCGGGGCTCCCGCGGGGGGAAAGGGGCCGACTCCTCCTGTGCTCGGCTGCACCCCTGGGCCCCCAGAGCTGCTCCCAGCCGGGTGCAGTGGACTTGCCTTCTGGGGCTCTCTGTGAGGGGCCACCCGGGTCCCCTGGGACCCAGCGTCCTGCACCGAGGCGCTGCCCACCGTCCCTGCTTACAGTAGGACCTCAGGCCGAAACAGCTGCCTGACTCGGTCCTGAGTCTCCCAGTCCAGGGGGGCAGGGGTAGGCCCCCCATCACTTGTGGGGTGACTGTCCCCAGCCCTGTACCAGGGACAGTAAATGGTGGTGGGTCTAAGGCAGCTGCGCCCCGAGCGTGTTCAGGCCGGGAGGGCCCTTGCAGAGGGCACCCACGCAATGCACTTTCCCTAAGAGACTTTCGGGTGCGTCCTGCCCCAGGCTGCAGGGTCTCGTGGCTCCGGGCTGGGGTCCTGCTCAGGCCCACCCCGAACAGCGATTTCTCACGGCTGGCAGCGGCTGCGGGGCAGCGACGAAGCTGGGCAGGGGCTCCGTGCGGGTCTGAGCACAGGGCTCGCTCGGCCTTCCAGAAACACCCACCTGGGGCCTGGCCGTTGCCCACGAGCGCCGCTCGCCTCCCGGGACTCGGCCGGGACAGCTCTCCCGGAGACCCACGTTCTCCAGGGCCCCTTGCGCCCTCCGCGCCGCTCTCGCTCCGTGCCCTGTGCGTGGGTCAGGCGCGGCGCGGGTCCTTCGGCTGCAGGGCCTCCCGTGGGGAAGGGCGTGTTTGGTGGGGCGCAGGTCTCAGGGGAGGCCGGGCGGCGGGGAACCGGGGCTGTGCTCACCCGGCCAGCGGGCTGGCGCCTATTCCTCAGGGCCGACTGTCTTCCAGGCGGGCAGAGGGGGCCAGAGCCACCTGACTGTGCCCCCGGGGGCCACTTGCTTCCTGACGCCTGCTGGGGAGCTGCCGTGGAGCCTGGAAGGCTCTCACGCGCCCCGTCCACCTCCTCACGTCATGTCACCGGGAGCGGAAGTTATTCACTGCTTCAAGGGGGCCCTACGGTCACATCGAATTTCAGAAGGTGGGAAGGGGTGGGCGGTGACGAGTCTCTGCCACCTGCTGACGCTCTCGGGGCGTCTGCCCAGGGCGGTCTGCACACCCAGAAAGGGGGCCACCTCGTCCCGGTGCTGAGGCCTTCGTCACGGAGCAGGGGGAGCGTGACGAGCCCCCCACAAGCACCGCCTGGACTCAGCGGAGTCCAGAAACATCCGTGCGTCTGAGGGGAACGCAGGCGCCCGACTCAGCCCCACCCCCAGCGCCTGCGCCCCTCCCCTCCCCAGGACGTTTGACAGCAGGTCCCTAGAAGCAGGCGAGAGCGAGGGGGGCCGCGGCCGGTTGTCCGCTGGGCCCCCACCCCACCCCCGTGACCCCCGGGCCGACTGTTTAAAGCGCCCTGGTGGTAACACGTGGAGCTACCGATTGGCCCGCTTGGGTCCTTCCAGTGCCATTTAACGTGTTCCTCCGTCACCTGTTCCCGTAACCAGGACGCGGGTTCTACAGCCCGCGCGGTGCAGGCGAGCGTCTCTGGCGGTGCCACCTCGGGAGAGCCTGTGCCCGCACAGCCAGAGGCGACTGACCGGGGGTCCTCCTCCCCGCCTCAGCTCAGCTCCTCCCCTCACCCCTCCCTCCGCACCTCCTCCCCTCACCCCCTCCCCCCTCCCCTCACCCTCCCTCCTCACCTCCTCCCCTCACCCCTCCCCCCTCCCTCCTCACCTCCTC